ATCCCCAGCTAGTCTGTTTCCCAAACCCTCCCCCGCTCCCCTGCTCCTCCCAGCTGAAAGCAGCTTGGGGCACTGAAAACCCACTGCCTGAAAATCAAACCCTGCAGCGTCTTCCCCTCCGGAGGGCGTGACTGGGCAGCCACAGGGGAAGGGCGCCAGGGGAGGAGAGGTCCCTGCAAGCCCCTGGCAGTGATAAAAAGCGATCGGAGTCTATTAAAAAGGTGGCTGTGAAAGGGGGCGCAGGGGCTGGGAAGCAGGGTCCAGGCGGTCTGAGTCCTCCAAAGCAAGTGAGCCCTAGAAAACCTACGGAGAAAAGCAAAGGCAGCGCCGGCCCGGCCCTGGAAGAGGAGCGTGTCCTGCTGTACAAACGTCAGGCCAGGAGGGCAGCGTCACTGGGCGGTGCCCCCAGGGGAGCGTGCTGCCCCCGGGCCATGCCGGATCTGGGCAGGCCTGGAGGTGACTCATGGATGCTCCTTGGGCGGAAGCCCGGCCAGTTCAGGTGGCTACTGGCGCCGCGGCGGCTCTGGCCAGGCACGCTCTGTCGCAGGCCGTGGGCGTCTTGTGTCCAGGTCAGGGTCAGGGCCGGCGTATTGTGTCCAGGTCAGGGTCAGGGCCCGACTAGAAGGCCCTGATGCAGTCTGTGACTGGCCCCGGCTGGGCTCGGCTCCTCCCAGAGGGTGTCTCTGTGGCCAGGGCGGCTCAGTTGCTTTCCACCAGCTTGGCTAGTCCCTGCCGGAGCTCGCGTGCCTTCCCCCTGCATCTTCTCCCTCTCCGCCAGGCTCTCGGCCAGCGCTTGCTCAGCCGCGTGCAGACGGCGCTCCAGCTCCCCGTTGCGCCCCTCCAGTGCCTGCCGGGACACAAAGGCTCAGTAAACAAGAGGGCAAAGAAGCAGCTACCCCCGCGCATACCCCACGGCCAACACACACACAGCAGCTACCCCCGCACCTTAACTGTGCACACCCCACGGCCAACACACACACAGCAGCTACCCCCGCACCTTAACTGTGCACACCCCACGGCCAACACACACACAGCAGCTACCCCCGCACCTTAACTGTGCACACCCCACGGCCAACACACACACAGCAGCTACCCCCGCACCTTAACTGTGCACACCCCACGGCCAACACACACACAGCAGCTACCCCCGCACCTTAACTGTGCACACCCCACGGCCAACACACACACAGCAGCTACCCCTGCACACACCCCACGGCCAACACACACACAGCAGCTACCCCCCTACCCTAAACGGG